GTTATTTTTATTTGTTATAACGGATAACATATTTATTTTCAAAAAATACAAAGCTTATATTTATTATTGGTGAACAAAATTTGAACTTGATATAAGTTGGAAGATTTTTAGTTATTCTTTTTTTATCTTCATATGCACACATGAAAAGTCCAATAAAATGAAGATTTTTAAATGGAATTTTCTCTACATATTTTATTATAAATAGTTTTACTTTAACGTACTATGCTTGTTTTTATTTTTATTTTTAGAGTAAATATAACGCTAGCTTTCTAAAAAGAAATACATGGTTCTTTTTCCCTCATTTTTCATCATGACTCTTTTCTAAGTCATGAAATTTTCCTTTCTTTTTTCCTTTTATAAGGCCAAAGTTTCTGAAGTATTCTTGGAATTAAATGAAAAAAAAATAAAATTGGAAACTTTTTTCAAAAGCTCAATATTAATAAAGAATAAGAAAAAAGTATATGAACTAATTGATTGTCTTATAATTAATCACACTAATTAAATATTCAATTGAGCACCACTTGGCATTAATTAAATTTATGGATTATTAATCATTAATAGTAATATTTATTTATCTTTAGTTCTTTACGATGATCTGATAATATAATTAGCTTCTTTTTTTAAAATTATGTCAGTATATAAAAGTTAAATTTTATATTTGTTTATTATTTTGTTATAGGAAAATCTTTCAGTGCAATATGATTTGGTAAAAGTTTCAAAGCAAAGTCTTGTTAAACTCTCAGACAGTACAAGTGGAGGGATTTGGAGGGAAAACTTTTCCCTTAAACCTTGTTGGAGGAAGCCATTATCAACAAGTAAGTTTATCTTAATTATATTACTAGCTACCCTACTAAAAAATTACTATTTTTCATTGAGATTTTTTACGAAAATTTTTTCAGTGATTATTTCTAGAAACATTTTGATTGAATTAGTGAGAAAAAAATAGTTGTGTTTTTACACAAATAGATAAGGAAGTTTTCCAGTATTTTATTGAGATTTATTTTTCATCATGCGTTCTTTCAATGAACTGCTTTGGTAGAAAATGAGTGGAAACAACACAAATTGTTCATTGATTCGCATTAAAAAAAACCTTTATTTTTAGTAATGCTAGCACTAAAAAAACAAACATAACTAGTGAAACTTCACGAATCGTGATATGAAAAGACAGAATACACGTAATTTTGCTCCTACCTTATCATAGAGAAATTGTTTCAGGAAGACTTAAAAAAAAAAAACTCATAAATTAAAGTTGGGAAATTTAACCATTTGTCAATATTGTTTGAATGGTAAAATTAGTTACCTTTCAATTTTAACTTTTTGTTAATTAATTTTCAGCAAATGAAGAACAGGGCAAAGGCTACATCTTTTTTAATCTAACACACAACCCTGAAGATCATATTACACAGGTATTAATTTTATTGTCTTTTAAATTTCATTTATTTGTACTGATAATTCAAAAGAATTTATATACATTTATCAAAAATTTATTCACATTCAGTATTTATAAAGTATTTATTCACCTATAAAGTTGTACCACTTCACTATAACTAATGGTTTGACGACTTACAAAATAAGATAAATTATTTGCTATAATACGTTAAATTATCATTTTAAACACCAAATTGAAAAATTAAATCGAAAAAAAAAAGAGAAAATAATTATATTTAAAAGAAACAAAAGGACAAAATAGGCAAGGGGGTGGGGGTTACAAGAAGCTGCCACGAGTCAACTAGCTGGCATCATTGCTGTCTTTTAAATTTTTTTCAATTTTTTTTTTTATCATTTCTCTTCTTTATTTTTTTGTTAGAAAAAAAAAACATATTTTATATTAATCATATTTGATTTATGAAATTTTGCACCACTTGACTTAAACATTTTTTTAGTAAAAGAATAACATAATTTCTCTATTTTATTTCTAAGTATAAAAATATATTATAGTACATACTTGGAGTTAATATCTCAAAAGTTCACTCAACTTTAAGAATTTATCTAGCAAAATCATTGAACTTTGTTTTGAATCAATAAGATCACTAAACTTAGATATTTTTATCAATAAAATCCCACAATCAAATTTATTATTAAATAAAATATTGACATAGCAAAATAAATTACTTGTATATTTTTATATCAGGTAAACACGGACCCACAAATAAATAAAATTAAAGAAAACTTATTAAAAAAATTCGGACAGACTTAATCACGGAAACAAATATTTTTTTTATGATATTGTTGTATAGTTTATGTCTTGATTTAATAAATAAATGAAAAAAAAATCTTAGTGAAACATATTTTGGTATTACTGTAATACCATAATATTTACTTTGCCTCCTTAATAAAAAA